TTCTTTTACTTCATCAGCGTGGAAGCGGGCTCTCAGTAGCAAACAGCGGCACGAGCAGCGAAGCCCACAACAGGTCTATAAGAAGTCTCGTTATCTTTTCAGAACCCTCGCGCACTCACATTGCTCGTAGGGTCGCTGGCTCCAAACGCATGGCTTTTGCCTCTAGTGTCGTGGCGCCAGTGAAAGCCTAAGCTGCTTCGGCGCAAGCGTTTTTTCAACCGTGGGAAATAATGAAGCCTTGAGCACATAAGCCAGCGAGATAGTAAGGTCTGCTAGGGGTCTATAGCACCGGTATTATTAGTACCAGACCGCCCTGGAAACCTCTCCTGTACTCGTCTCAACTCTTCCTCAACTCTTCCCGCGAGGGAAAAACGCGCGACCTGCTGCGCTGATAATGGGGACCTCCTCTCGGGCTCAGTTCGTAGGAAAGAAATTCTACTCTCTCTGCACCTCTACCGCGGAATATAAATTGCCTCTGGCACTGAAGAGAGGACGCCGTGGGGGAAAACGTCGGTTTTTTTTTCTATTTTCTTATTGGTTTGTCTATTTGTTTGTTTGTTTGTTTCTTTTTTTGAAGATCTTACATTTAACAACGTACGAGGAACGCACTGACAGTTTATAGGTGATAAAATTTTATTTTCCAAAAAGAAAATAAAGCTAAAGCTAAAACAACAACAGCCTTATGCGCCGCACTCCGAAGTTGCTTGCGGCTCTTCGAGGGTTCTGATCTTTCTCTAGTGCTTCCAAGACTTTATAATTGTTATATTTCCCATTTCAGGATCTTATGTCCGCGGGTTGCGTCAAACATGAACCAATGGTTAGAGTTTTCGACGAAGCAATTAAGATAGCCATGCCAAACAAACCGAAATGCCAAGTCAGAATAATGGACATGGGATCCGGGACTGGACTTCTGGGAGTGGAGCTGAACAAAAGGGGCTACACAAACGTAGACGCCCTAGATGTCACTCAGAAAATGTTGGATGTATCTAGGGAGAAGGGCGTCTACACGAAATTTATATGTGCCCATCTAACGGAGGCGCGGACCCCTGGCATTGAGGATGGTGATTACAATGCCATAATTTCATCTGGAGTGGTTACAGCGGCTTACGGACATATTAAACCACCGGCCTTTTATGAGATGATGAGAGTAATTAGCGATGGTAAGTGTGGTGCTTTCCTTTCCTTTTAGTTCCTCTCTAAGCCATGCTGACTGTGCAAATCAAGTTTTTCTACTAAGAGAGTCTCAATGGAGGTCAACCGAGAACTGTCAGGACCTCCAGCCCTTAGGATTGGCTGTTTTTTTCTATACCTCTTACTAAACCGAGTTTGAGTTTTGCACTGTAATTTGCGGACCGAGTTATTCCTGCTTGGATTTATAGCCCAAGCTTGTAACATGCGGGCCACTGATAAGTCGGACGAGGTTTCTTTACTGACTGTACAGACAAAAATAAAGTGGTTAGAAAGGTATTTTTCATATCTTTGAGTTCAAATAGAGGGGGAAGATTTCGATTCAAACAAACTTTTAAATTTAGCGGGCCGTACAGTTAAATACACTCAGAAAAATTGACAGATCATAGCGTACGCACTGAGATGTAATAATCAACAACTTTTCACCGAAGTGGTGGTATGTGGTGGATAATTACCAAGCCGTGACGAGGGAAATATCCACCGTATATACTTGAACAGTAAGATTATATATAAGATTATATAGCACATAAGGATAATAATAACTCATTTATTCTTGCAACGGTTACCATATTTTCAGGCGCGAGTTGCTCGAAGGTGAACGGCAAAGGATATTCAAAGTTCGAGCAGCCAATCAAAGCGCGCCTTCAACGCCATGCATTGTTGTAGTATATACTAAAAGGCGCTATTGACCAAGCTAGAGATCAAAGCCACGGAATATCTGTAGATCCCTTGCTTTTTTAGCAGTCCGAGAAGAAGCAAACAACAACAATTACAACAACAACAACAACGAAAACCGATGTTTACTACCTGTGTGTCTTTATTTTTCCAATTTTATTTTATTTGTTTTATAAAGGAGGCGTTATCTATTTCAACGTTCGCACCAAGGA